CCAATCTGTTCCGGGTTGGCCAGACCGTTCCAAGCCAAACTTCTTGGCATAGTCCTCCAAATACCTGACCGGGAGAGGGCTCCAAGCTGCATTTGTGCAAGGCTTGTGAGATCTCGCATCCAAAGGCTGAAGGGTTCACCTCCGAATTGAACAGATCCTTCGCCGGCGTCAACGGAATCTCATGCTTTTTTGTGGCTACAACAGTAGAAGCAACAACAAAACAAACTCAACCGCTTACTTGGAGGTCATTGCCTACCATGAAGGTGACTGGGAATGTCTAGACCAGTGGCCTGTTTGAACTTGATCTGTAAATTGTTATCATGCACACAAATATCGCAAGCTGAAAGACTCTCTTTGCAAGTTGCTTGCCCCTTAGGGACAACAAAGTCCGTCTAAGTCTAAGGTTCAACCGGTGGGGCCTTCAAAACCTTTCGCACAATGCAATGACTTCATTGCCGATTCAGAGGTGATAGATATAATATCATGAACTACACACTGCCTTCCTTTTTTGGTCTGTAGGAACCCCGAACTGTGATTTCCCTCCACGACATGGAATGTTTGACGCGATGAAGATCATCCGGGCAATCTTAACATCTCTGGTCAATTGGTGCATTTGGTGAGGCACCGGTTACATGTTCCTCCACAATACACATTGTATATTATGAATGGCGTCAACACCCTTAGTCAGGAATACCTAGTGTATCCTAGTGTTGTTTGGGCACGTGGGATTGTTGGAAGTGTGTGCAGATTATGTGTTTGCAAACCCACACTCTGAAGTGACCTGTCTACCCTGCCTCCGGTACTCTGAATGGTGCCAGTGGTAGCGGTGCCTCAGAGGTCCGAAATGGCTGCGAAGCGCACTGGCAACGCGCAAAGAGGGGCACTGTTTGTTGAAAAACATGTATAATGGTGATGAATGATGTTTGAGGGGAGTCCAGTGAAGCAATGGCATCCGCAAATGTCCATCAAATATACCTACGCTCGAGTGTGAAAATGATGAAATTGTGAACGGAAGTACTACCTGGAGTGCGGA